GCCCGCCCGGCCAAGACCATTCCCAACTGGGAGAGGGCGCCCTGGCTGGAGCAGATCTACTGCCGGGAGGCTCTGCGGGACACGGACACCCCCCGGCTCCTCACCACCCACATGCCTGCACGTGTCCTGGCCCCTGCCCTGCAGCGCAGCAAGGCCAAGGTGAGGAGGTGAGGGGGGGACGCAAGATCTGGGGGATCCCCTATGGGCTGGGAGGTCCCTGCCAGGACATGCTGCACCCACGGGGCTTCCCACAGCCTGGGGAGTGCTGGGGGCTTTCTGAACAGGGAGGAGTGGAATCCCCTCAGTCACGGCAGTGCCACCATGTCCCCCCCAGGTGATCTATGTGGCCAGGAACCCCAAGGACGTTGCTGTCTCCTTCTACCACTTCCACAACCTGGCCAAGTTCCTGCCAGACCCTGGCTCCTTTGATACCTTCCTCACGCGGTTCCTTGAGGGCACAGGTAAGGGCTGGAGGGTCTCTGGAAGGGAACTCAGCCTTGGGACCCCTCCATCACTCCCTGCCTCCCCCCAGTGCACTATGGCTCCTGGTTTGACCACATCAAGGGCTGGCTGGGCCAGCGGCACCTCCTGAACATCCTCTACATCACCTATGAGGAGCTGCACCAGGTGAGCCCCAGAGTGTCCCTATCCCCATCCCCAACCCCACCAGTGCCCAGTGCTGACCATGCCCCTGCTCCAGGACCTGCGTGGCTCAGCACAGCGCCTCAGCACCTTCCTGGGGTGCCCCTTGGCACCAGAAACACTTGCAGCTCTGGAGCAACACTGCAGCTTTGCTGCAATGAGGGACAACGTCATGGCCAACTACTCCCTCATTCCCCCCGAGATCATGGACCACAGCCAGGGTCGCTTCATGCGTAAAGGTGAGGAGGAACAGGCTGGGGGGACACAGGAAGGGTGCAGGTGCAGCATCCCTGACTCCCTGTCCCCTCCATCCCACAGGTGTGGTAGGTGACTGGCGTGACCACTTCTCCCCCCAGCAAAACGCCCTCTTCAACCAGATCTATCAGGAGGAGATGGAGGACACAGAGCTGCCCACACAGTGGCCCATGGACTGAGGGGGGAACAGGGGGGCTGGGGACACTCAGCCCTGCCACAGCTCACCACGACTGGCCCCTCACCTGCTGAGAACCACTGGGAACTTGCATGGGCACCCCCTAGCACAGCCCTAAGTGTCACCAGGGGCTCCCCCGAGGATGGGGGTCGGGCAGGGGGACATGGCACCGTGCCACCTCCCAGGGGTGGGGGACAGTGCACTGCGGCCATCCCCGTGGCGTCGCCCCCTCCGGGTGGGTG